CCAGTCTCAACAGGTTTGGTCAACTTCCAATAGTAAAAGAATGTTCTTAAATTGTAAATTCTGAGACACTTTTTCAACCGATGAGAAATTATTGCACAAGTCCCTCTCTTCTACTTTTAACAATGAATCTCCGTTCAATCGCAAAACAATTTCAATATCAAGTAGAATTGGAGTAAAATATAACAGAGTTGGTTATTAAACTGCTATTCCTGAACTTACTGAAACACTGGCTCTTTAGTAAAACTTTGGTATTTTACTGGGTAACATCGTCAATTCGTTAAATTTAAAACTTAGTGATAATCTATTAGCGATTGAATTAGCGCACAGCCTTTCTCGTACTAGTTCGTTGTCTATCTCTTTTAGTCCTGGTGTAGCTTTTTCGGTTTATCATAAAAATTACTACTATCTCTAATAGATTACTAATTATTTAGGATCTTTGATTCTAATCTACTGAAGCGATAATTAAAAGTTAAATTAGCGTTATGTTATTCTGAAAACGATTCCCTTTTCACGAACCAAAAGATAAATGAGGCAATGAAGGTGCGGCATGTTCGCTTAACTCTTGTGATAAAAATTAATAAAATATTTGTGATGTTGATACTTTGTAATAATTCGAAAAAAAGGTTGCCTGGGTACCAATATTATTCCTAATATTGTCGACTCGCGCGGGATCATCGTCAGAGACGAATCTTTGCACAGCGTCTTGCATGGAGAAGAACATCAGGCAGAAGTTCGTTCCTCCGCCAACGAACCGAGGACCCGAACGAATTGGCGGAGATCGAAAATCTGCCAGATGCTATACAAAATGAACTTGATTGTGTTCGCATACGCAATCGAAAAAACGTCAGGATTAAATTATATACCCAACAACATTTTCTGCAATGAATCCTTTTTGAAGTAATTTCATTACACCTTAGGACAACCTATTACAATACCTTCGCCTTTCAGCATATCATCTTCATTTTGAAATAATAATGAAGCCGATTAAAATGTTATTGTGTATCAGATTAAACGTAAATATTTTCGCATTAACGTTTATATATATGTAAGTACTGAGACTTTTAAATGTTGAATGATTTAAAAAATTTAAATAATTGGGCAAGTTTCGCATGCAGTAGGATCATTCTCATGTTAGCGTTGTTTCTTTTGTACATTATAGTGCGATAGATTGGTATATGATAAAACATTGTTTAATGTAATAATAATCCGTATTAACGTTTTGTATGGCAAATCAATTTTAATGAAATAATTATCTCAACATGAAGTTAAAAAATAGTTGATAATTATCAATCATAACCACTAAATGCTCACTTGCCGTTTTTTGAACACTTGTCAAGACCTGAATGTTGCTTCACATGCAATGTTCTTTTTTAACTGGCTATCATCAAAACTTCGTTACGAAGAGATTATAGCTGCATCATCGACCATACATTATTTATGGAGTCTGTTTGTAATTTCCCCAGAAATCGTAGAACTTACGAAATGGCTAAGAAAAAATCTAGGTTCTGAGGAGGGTCGGACCATCACCTGAAGAGCGTACGATTTGTTCCTTAATATAAAGTAACTTAAATAATTTCCTCATATTTGAACTTGGTGATTCGATAAGACGCAGTCGTTCAAGCGTCCATTTTCTTTTCAATTCTCAATTTTTTATTTATTTACCCCCAAAACTGTTAAAAACGTGTGTGTGACGTCTATGGGGAGAGTTTAATTTGAAGTTATACATTTATGTCCAGAAGCAAAACAAGGGGCCATCTCAGCATTTTGCTTCAAGGATCTCAGAACTAGGCAAAACCTGATCCGTATGATGAGGGTTATTGACGCCAGAAGCTGAAGTTCAATACTGTTCAGAGTTTCTTTGTAATATAATTTTGTATTGGTGTTACCACATCAAATGCACCTAAAATGTCGTGTTAAACAAATTATCTACTTTCCTTTTGGATGCTCGGTATAGTATTACTTTAATAGAAAACAGTTGTGCAGCAGAAAGATTTACTTGGAATTAAACTTTTGTATAGAATTTAATAGTTAATGTCCTCTGGCAAGTTACGTTCACTGGGTAACAACCTAATTCTAATTTAACATTTTTTTTACAAAGATTGGATGTTCATATGCTTGTGCGGTCGTGAATTCATCACTGTTCGATTGTTGCAGGAAATACTGTACTGTAGTGCAATGACCTGCATGCTTCAATCTGGTTTTGTTCAGTTCCTGACAATAGAGCAATGCTGGAATAGCCCTTATTTTGCTCCTGACATAAATATACTTCACTATGCGCCGTTTCGTTGAACTCTTCCTTTTGCTATGTAGTGACAGAAGTAGAATTGGGGATAAGTTACTACTTTGTTAGGCAATGCATAAAAATCAAATTCTGGGGTTCGTTTATAGGTTCAAATTAAGTTTTCTCACTCGGGAACGAAAATGTTTAGCTTTTCTAATATGTTGCCTTATCTCTCGCTTTTAAATTTAATTTTTATTTGTTTATTTTTTAGTTTTACTCACCTTTCTACTATTTTACGGTCAAATGTGAAGGGATTCTGAACTCAGAAAACGTGGGCAAATGTTTCTCCTCTATACGTCACATACAGTTTTTTGACTGAAGAAACGAATCTACATAAGTGTCAGACATGCTAAAAGAGCATGTACTTCAATATTCCCAACACGTGTTCACAAAAGGATAATTATCATCGAGCAACTATTTGTGCTACGCGACCATACGATACATTCATTAGAGATTCATGAATCGAGCAGGAACGAATCAAAGCAGTTAATGATAATTAAAAGTAATTGTAAATCAAGATGATGTAAATGCAACCCACTCGACCGAATAGCTCAGGGCAACAGCTGGTTGACATGGCAGAGGTCTTTGGACCAACGAGAGGTTGTAGGTCTTCGAGCCACCTGACATTGTGATATTTCGCCACCAGCTTGAAAGTTAGGTCAATTCAGTCGCTGTCTCGGGAGTATATAGCAGTGCGGTTGTTTCTGTTGTACCTTCATGATTTCATCATATCGAACGAGAACGTCAAGCAGTAATAACGACGGCAAGGACGCGCGCAATCTTTCTTCCACATCCTTGCCCTTTCTCTTTTCCGTTAGTCATACAACTACGCTGAACCAGACTTCCATAACATTTCGGAGATTATAGCTTCCCAGATCAGGCGGGAATGATGCTGGTGAAGGAATAGAATTGATTGAATTTGAATTGAGTAATGCCGTTATTTTTAAACTGGAGACTCAGGCATGAGGCTGCTCTTCGTCGTGACACGCAAATGTCGCTAACGCTCCTTTACCAACTGACGAGAAAGGAGGTAAACATGCTATTGTTTAATTTATCTCAGAGGGT